TACTCCACCTACCCCCCCCCACCTATATATATAATAATATATTACTATATATATAAAATATATATATTATACCTATATATTATACTACTAATATATAATATAACTATATATATATATAACAAATAACATATACGATATTACCTATTACTATACTATAATAATATAAATATATTATATCTCATAATATAACTATATACTAATATCATACTATTATATATAATATTATATATATGATATCCACCTACATTATAGCTCCACCTATATCATATAACTATTACTATATATATATAAATAATATAACTATAAGTACTATCATACTATAATACTACTATTTTACTAACACTACATACTATACTATAATACTATATACATACTATATATCATATATACTGTGTATATATATATATCTATTCTGAATTGCTTGTAATGTTTACACACCTGCCCATTCCTTCCCCCACGCGAGCCTGCAGTAGCCTCTTCCAGTTTGGCCTCCCGATGGACACTATCTATCTTCCATGCCTAAATGAGTTTTACTATAATCACCCCCAAGGAGGCCTTTGTACACTCATGGCAAGTCTCTCAGAACCCCAGCCTACAGTCAAAACCCTCATGATGGCAAGTTCATGCCACCCGGCCCCCACACCAGATTTTTCCCATGATGGCATGAAAATTTTATCTTTTCACATGACCAGCCCCTGAAGCCAATTTCTTTCATGGAGTGAAGGTCACTTTATCCAGATTAAAGGGATAATATGTTAGGATGTAAATTTTACAGGTACTATCTAATAATGTATCCCTTCCAGTGGGAGTCTTGATGCTGCATGCAGTAGAGGAACAGTGTGTGTTAAAGCTGTTATTGACCCTCAACACCCATACTCTAGTAGAGACATCATTGCTGGTCAGAAGCTCTTGGAAAATCCAACAAGCCAAGACAAGGATCTTGGTATTACTGATATTCTGTCTTCACCTGTGCCACATGGAGTACCTGATAAACAGCTGAAGTCCTTCTCTCCAAATGACATCAGTGTTATGGAGACAAGAGGACCTTTCACATCTACAACCAGGTTAGATCTTGCAAGCAACTCAGTTTCTCCTTCAGCCATTCCCCTTGAAGAGACAGCTTCCAGTGATGACTCCCGTTCAACCGTGAGACATAATGTATCAGCAGTTGAGCATGAGGACTTTGAGCTTTCTGGAGCCAAGGTGGGAGTGGGTGCTCCTGTAAATATGCCAAATAACTTGGTGACCGAAGTTGCAACAGCCAAACCCACTGTCAAGACTCGCATGGATGGTGCGGCTAGTGCAGTCCAGTATGTTGCTTCACACAGTGCAGATATGGTGATCAGTGCAGCCCTTGCAACACATGCCCATTCCCATAAGAAATTAGAGGGCTTTGCAAAGGAAGACTCTGCTGCCAGTGAGTCCCTTCTTTGGGACAGTAGGATTGGGGGTTTGGATGGTAATGATAAATGTGACAAAAATCCTAATTCTTATGGTGCAGAAAAGGTGGCGGCAGCTGTTAAAGAGTCGCTACTTTGGAACAGCAAGTATGGGGAACTTAATTCTAATGACAAACTTGAAGATGGAAATGCAGAGAAAACTGCTAATGAGGAGTCATTCTGGGACAGCAGGCATGTGGGCCTTGGGAAAGATTTTAATGGTAACAATAAAAGAAGAGACAAAAGTGCCAGTCCTTGTGAAGGGAATACAGGATCAGCTACAGAGCAATCACTTCTTTGGGATAGCCGATATGGAGGTCTTAATTCCAATAATAAACCTGAGAGTGAGATTGTTAGCCAAAAAATCCCTTGTGCTGAGACCACTGCTAATGAGTCACTCCTCTGGGACAGTAGACGGGGAGGCCTCCATGCTAATAAGGATGGACATGATGAGAAGGGAAGTATGGACTCCTCTGTTCCTTGTAATGAAACTACAGGCAATGAGTCTGTGGTTTTGCTTTGGGACAGTAGGTGTGGTGGTTTAGAAACAGGTGATGGCAAGACTGTCAGTGCAAAATGTGACACTAAAGATGATAATGTAGATCTTAAGTCCAAGATAGCAAAAGTACAAGACATCAAATTAGAAAAAGATAGTTTGCCAAGTTCATCTCCCAAGATTCTTCAGTTAGAATTGCCTTTGCAAGCAAAAATCAATGTCTCTATTGTTTTTGTAAGTGGTCTATCCATTTGGGTACAGCTTGATGAACACTTGGGCTCCCTCAATGAAATGATGGAATATCTTCATACCCAGATGGAAACTTTGAAGGCTGAACACCTTTCTGCACCTCAGGTTGGTGAGCAGTGCATCAGCAAGTATCATTTAGATGGGGGCTGGTACAGGGCATCAGTCTTAGAAGTTGAAAAGAATCCGGAGAAAGTCAAAGTACATTATTTTGATTACGGAAACACTGAATTTGTGGAGAAACATGACCTTTATGCCCTCCCACAACAGTTCTGTGACCTACCATGCCAGGCTCTTCACTGCTGTCTGCCACAGGAATTAGAAGGCTGGCAAGAGCCTTACCAGGAGCAGTTGGAAGCTTGTGTAGGGAAGAGTGCTGTCATTTCTGTCAAGGAGGGTCCTAAGGAACATACCTGGACTCTGCTCTCATTAGAAGTGGAAGGAACGGATATAGTTGATCAGATACGACAAGAAGTTCCTGTGCCAGCCGAGGAAGAGGTAGAGAGTGAAGAATTGCAAGTTACAGAAACAGAGACAGAAAAGGCACTCCAAATTCATTGTAAGTTACTGATATCAACTCTGTATTATTTTCAAATAATTGATTTCTCTTTTTGAATTTGATTTCAAAAAAAAAAAAAAAAAAAAAAAAAGTACTGTTGAGGCAAATGATAGTAATTACTTTATCATTGTTAAATTTAATTTCAGTTTTATCAACACAAATTGTCTACTCAGCAACAAATGTAGTAAATTTTGTTGCTAATCATTTACTTTTTAACTGCTATGAATTTTGAAAGTTCTGGCCAATGTAACAATGACTTTAAGAGTTAACCTGTAAAAATGGAATGACTCAAATTTGACTCTCTATTGGATCTTGGTCCAGATCCACCCCGGACTGTTCTCTCAAGTGGCATTCGAGTGTATGTGAGTTATCTGGCAGGAGGAGCTGAGGTATGGCTCCAAAAAGCGGAAGATCTTTCTGTTGCTGAGAATATGGCTGCACAGATTGCCAGGGCTCAGACCACCACCTTGGTAAGATGTGTTTGTAACCGTATATTGGATTTTTTTGGGCTGACTATTTATACTGAACGGACTTTTTTCAGTCAATTTTTTGTCATTATAGTATGTTTATAGTTGTATTTATGTATTATTATTATATTTATTATTTTGTTTTAAAACCACAAGGAATCTGAGAGGGTGATAGAAGATATGCCGTGCCTAGCTCAGTCAGCTGCCGATAATGTTTGGTACAGGGCTAAGATCGTCTCCCTTAATGAACCTGACCAAGTCAAGATACACTTTATTGATTATGGCAACTCCGAAATAATGTCCATGAATAACGTAAGTGATTTTGATGTCTTAGGATTATTATTCTGTTCTAGATATTTTATATTGATGAGGTAAAGTTGCATTCTAGTACTTCAATCTTTATCTTGCAGATAAGAGAGGTTCCAGATGAGCTTTTGTTGGTAGGAATTTGTGTTCTAGGCCCACTCGCTCATTCCTGTGTTCTCACAGGCAAGGGCGAACCACATGAAATTGATCTCAAAGCTTTGGAGGAAAAGTTCTTAGAACAGGCAAGTTCCCTTTCAGTATTGCCTGCCTCCTTTCCACTCTATCTCCTCATCCCTCATCTCATTCTCATTCTCCCCTTTTCACTTGTAGTCCTCTGCACCATCCTCCTCCTCCTTCCTCTGCCTCCTCCTTCCTCTGTCTCTTCTCTCCTCCTTCCTCTGCCCCATCCTTCTCCTCCTTCCTCTGCCCCATCCTCCTCCTCCTTCCTCTGCCCCATCCTCCTCCTCCTTCCTCTGCCCCATCCTTCCTCTGCCCATCTCCTCCTTTCCTCTGCCCCATCCTCCTCCTCCTCCTCCTCTGCCCATCCTCCTCCTCCTTCCTCTGCCCATCCTCCTCCTCCTCCTCCTTCTCTGCCCAATCCTCCTTCCTCTCCATCCTCCCCATCCCTCCTCCTCCTCCTCCTTCCTCTGCCCCACCTCCTTCCTCTGCCCCATCCTCCTCTCCCTCCCCCTCCTTCCTCTGCCCCATCTCCTCCTCCCCCTCCTTCCTCTGCCCCATCCTCCTCCTCCCCCTCCCCTTCTCCCTTTCTCCCACCTTCCTTATGGAGATTCATATATATGAAAGTGTTCTAATAAAAATAAAACAATTTAATAAATTATAAGTTTTAAATCATTTATTAACAAAGAAAAAATCTTTATATGCTCTATTATTTTCTACATTATCAGGAACTTGTGGTTCGTGTCTTTGGCTCTGAAGATGGCAAAACACTGGTTTCTCTTCTGTTGGATGATGATGTAGTTGTTGAGGATTCTGTCGGAGAGCCAGCCACTGCTAAAGACGATACTAAACAGAGGCTTGTGCCTGATAGTACTGATACACCACCTGAAATGAGCACTTCTGTAGCTGCTCCATCAGCCTGTCGGCAAGATACTGAAGAAGTGGTGGATCAGAATCTCAATGGGGAGATCAAATCCAGGAAGTGGTATGTTCCAGCTGCCAAAGGTGAAGATGTTGAAAAGTCAGACTTTCTACTGACAAGTTCTCTCCCAGCAGAAACCCCTGCGGAACATACATCACCTACAAGCCAACAGGAAATGTCTAAGGGCAATGTCTCACCGTTAACTGGAGTGTTCATGAACTTTAGAAAAAACAAGGATACTATAAGTGGCATTTCAAGCTCAGAAATGGAGAATCACACTCCTACAAGTAAAGGAAGTGCTGTGTTTGTTGAAGAAAGTCGTCCCGGTGCCAGTCCTCCACCTCATTCGAGCAACAGGAATGGAGCAGGTGGCCAGCAAGTAAATAACCCAAACGTTACCAATGGGTTGACCAGCTTTTTACCTTCTGTACCTGGGAGAGTCGCTCACTCCACCATCTCGAGTCCTTGTAAAACAGAGTTAAAAAATATTCCTAAGACTGAAACCAAAGAGCTATTAACGACACTTCTGAAAGATTGTAGTGACATGGACGAGAGTAGCATAGTAGACCATGTTAAAAGTAAGCATGAACAGAAAGAAATGAAAGGAGATGATAGTGTCAAAGATGCAAGCCCAGAGCAAAAGGGGCCTCAAGGAACCCAAACAGTTCATGGAAGGCGCTTCCTTGACTGTATTGAGGAAGTAGAAGAATGCAGTGATGATGGATTTACTGAAATGCAAATAAATCCTTATTCTGCCTACCTAGTGCACATTGAAGAATCACCATTTTCCCTGTGGATTCAGAAGGAGGAAGACAATGATTTGGCAGAATACATTGAGACCTGGTACAAGGAGCATAACCAGGAGAGAGTGGACACTATTAAAGTTGGTGATATATGCGTGACTGTCTTGGGTGACAGTGCCCAGCGTGCGTATGTCCAGTGCATAGAGGATGCTAATATAACAGTTCTTCTGATTGACCAGGGAAGGCATGCCGTTATCTCAAAACAGGACCTATTTAAGTTACCCAGCAGCTTGACAGACATCCACCCTCTGGCAATGCAGATTTACCTTCCAGTAAAAGTAGCTCCTGGAAGGGAGTCCGGTGCTGTCATCGCAGTAGCTGAGGTAGCCCACCAGTTGAAGTGTGTGTGTCTGGACCTGGACAACAGATACACCCTGATATGGTGCCCCGGAGTGGGTGACCTCGGAGACTTCCTCGTGGATAATAAGCTGGCCACACCCATGCATTGGAATGTTGGGTGGAAGTATCGATATATAACCTCGGTGAAGCGCAGACTTGAAGAAGAAGCCTTCCTGCTGACGTCCGATGCCAGACAGGAGGACTCCTTTTATCAAACAGCCGACACTGATCTTGCAGCGAGGTTGGAACAGTCGCTCAAGACCTTGAATGCCAACTCAGCATGAGTAGCTGAACAAGTACAAAAGAAATTGTTTATTTAAAGTTTAATTGTGAAAGTTGAGTTATGTTTGTCTTTGTGAAGACAATTTATAAGTATGACGATAGAACGGAGACATTTTTGTATTAACTGTGGATGTAAAAGTTAAATATAGAATAGATGTCATTACTGTACTGATGGAAATTTTGTGAAAACTGCTACTTTGTTACAAGGTTAACAAAACGTTATGATTGTTTCAGTAAATATTTTGAAGTATATTAGAAAGTTTCTTATATTGCAAAAAGTAGCATTTTTAGTTTTATGATGTTACGGAGCTTGTGGCAAAGTGGAATAGGAGAAAATTGCCAAAAAATTATTCATTGTTCACAGTAATGATAGCTAGAGAATTTCAAAGAACTTGTATATTTAAGGCAAAGAATATTGTATGAATATCTTTATAATGAAGTACAAGTTTGGTTTCAAATATTTCCCCTCATTTTCCCTCACTCAATTTGTTTTTCCATCTAAAGTCCTTAAAATATCTCAAGTTATACAAAAATTAGAGAAAACTGAGATTTCTTCAGCATTATACAACTTCTTTCTCAATCTCAACTTCTCACCTTTCTCTTTCCGTGTATGAAGTTAAGGTTCAAAAGAGACACCTTCTGTTTGGCGTAGATTTATTTAACATAACTTAGGCATATAATACAAAGTAACGCCTAGTATGAAGGGCGTTGTTACATAAGTGATACACAGTGGAACATGATTCAAAAGCAATCACCCTATTTACAAATATACAGCGAGATGCATTCATTTCCTGTTGGTATTTATAAAGTCAAGTGTTGTGAGTAATCCCTTAAAAGCGCTACATCCTGGAGACTACAAGCTTAAGAGAAAGGGCAGAAGGAAGACTTGTCTAAAACACCTTTAGAAGAAGAGAGGAGGGAAGAGGAAAAATGGAATGAAAGAAAAAGAAAAGGGGTGAGAGAGAAATGCCACGAGTCTGGTTCGATATATATATGATATGATTTGTCAGAGCAAGCCAATGCAGATTCAACCCTAGTTGATTCGGCACACTTGGATGGTAGACGATTTTTTTAAGCCATGAAAAGCAGGGAAATATCTCAGTCGCGCAATAGGGAAGGCTTGTCAACGTTGAGATGGAGATCAGAACCTCAAAGAAAGAAATGGGTTCCACATCCACGTCTCAAACTTTGGCTTGAAACTTCCCTTGTGTGACTCGCCCAAAAGGAACTGAATGTTCTCTCTCTTAAGATTAAACTGACTTAAAAAGAATAATATAAATATGAGCAAAATAAAAATCCAATTAAAGATCTAAAAAAAATGTACAGCGATAAGAAAGGAGTAAAAGACAACTGAAAATGTGACCAGCACACTAGTAGTAGTTGATTATAAATTATTCGGATAAAAAACGTGAGGAAACTAGGAGGACGTCTAAAGGGCACATTAAGATCCTTCTAAAAGCAGTGAAACAAGGTCCACGCGACAGATTCTTCTACAAATGGTAAAATCCTACGAAACTTCTGGAAAAACGAGTAAGCACATATTAAAATATTGTGGGTGCATAGTACATGTAAAGATTGTGCTATGATACACAGGCTTCATTATTGCTAAAACACTATTGTTCTTCTAACTTCTATCGGAACCATATACTTGTTATTATTATAGTTATTATTATTAATTATTATAATCGTAACCTTCCATAAAAGGTAACTAGGTTTTAAAAATGGCTAGAAAAATACCTAAATCTACGAACAGATACACAATGTCGTAAAGCGAGCAATACGGAAATGCCACAGAAACATACCGAGGACACACGCTGATACAGTGTGTCCAGAACCAAGCTGTTTTAGTTGGTCCACTTACGGCCTCGATACAAAATAATCTGAAGGATTTATCTTTTTTCTCGGTTATTTTTATGAAAGGAAACCGTCAACCGAGACTCGTTTGTGAGAGAAGATGAGCATCTCGTGTCCCGTGATGGCGAACTGAACACAATACTGGTGCTTCCAATGGTATTAATCCTCCCTTACGAATCTGCATCAACTGCTAAAATCCCTGAATAATACCGAATAAAGGGATTTTCACGACTAATCCAAACCCTTAAAGCTTACTCGGACAACCAAAGGAATCCCAGGGGAAAGCGAGATGCATTCATACAAATCTTGGTTTGCTTCTTTAGCTCACTGTCGAGTCCCCTGTCGACATCACAGAAAATAGTACGCTTACCTCTAAATCCTTCGGTTATAGACAGGCAATAACGCCATTATTGCAACTTCGAAATAAAAATGTTATAAAAAAAACATACTGGGGAGGTTTTTGTGTTATTGTGGATATGTTACGTCATTCCAATGGAAAAAAGAACGAAATTAGGGTAGAAATAGAAAAATGAAAAAGATTCCCAAAAGACGGTGTTTCCACTCAGGCATTAACGGTAACGCAAGGATCTTTGAGCACAGGGAAATTTCAGCGTCGCCTTCGTCTTCTGTCGCCAAGATAGGTAATGAGCGACTATTTATTTTTAAAAAGTCAAAGGAGTTATCACATTCAATTAGCCACTGACATCGCCGTATAAAGAACCTTTTTGTCAACATCACACTTGAAAGAACCTTACATCGTACGAAATTAAAACAGTATGTAACAAGAAACAGGTTTCACATCATGTGTGACTATGAAAACAAAAATAAACGCGGCTACTTTGTTGGCAAGTACAAATTTCATTCATTTCCATTGAAGAGTTCGGACATACAAAAATACTGGTCTTGTTAAAACATTTCATGCCAACGAAATAGCAGTCTACTCGAAACCGTCAAAACACTAGACTTCTTTTAGGTTGTTTATTATTGCTGTTTTACATCCTCCACGAAATGAATACTGAAATTACCTCTTGTTAACACCCATTTATGTTTGCCTATCGATGAAATGTAATCCATTTTAGAAAATAAAAACACAAATCTTACTTAACATTATCTCCTACAACAAGAGCCTGCATGAACTTCGTCAAACCGAAGTTGAGAAAAGATCTTACAATGTTCTACGGAAAAAAATATTCAATCAGCCCTTAGTTTGCCTTCCACCTGTTCCTCGCGAGATTGGATCACGCTGCACTATATTCACTTCTTGTGTTTTGTTTACTGTTGATATGCCTGACACTTGACGTAGGAATGGGAAAGTTCCATGCGACGACCCATGGCCAATACAATCTACAAATACCATCAGAAATTGAAGAGAACAATACCCTCCTGTGTAGCCTGGATTTAGAGTAGATCTATAAAACAAATTCTACGTCGCATTGGTCATGGGGCGTGCAAATACACCTATGTATAATAATGGACAGTGAAAATGAAAACGAAACTTTGAGAAAACATCCCCGCTGACAGGGGAGGACACGGATCACAGGTTCAAACCTTTTTCCTCTATTCCTCTTTCATCCTTCATTACCCAAATACAATTCACATTTCCTTCCTTCCTTCTTGCCTTTCTTCTCCCCCTTGTTTATCGTTTAGTGTCGGCCATTTCGGTACTCGTTTTCCACCGTGGTGATGGTGGGGTGTCGCCGGGGAGGGGGCGGCGGCTGGAACTGGTCCGAGAGCCTGGACGAGGTGCTGCGGCGGTCGAGGGACGAGTCGCTGAAGGCCAGGGACTGCATGGAGCCGCGGGGTCCCTGGGAGGGGAGAGGGGGTCGACGTCAGGGAAGGACTCGTGTGGGAAAGCAAAGGGATCACGCAAGAAAAAACAGGAAAGGAAAACCGTGAAGAAATATACGATTGATGACATCTAGACCGACTTCTTAATTTTATGATTCAGCATTTAAGAAATGAGCATGCAAGCATAGCAAACTTGTTGGAGGCACCCGCCCTCACCTTGGGGTACTGTCCCGTCTTGTGTCTGCGGTACAACACCACCGCCACCACGAGGCCGCACACCAGCATGGCCGAGATGACGGTGAAGATAACTGTGGCGGCGAGGTATGGCGGCTCCAGTGCCATGGCCTCGCTCACGACCTCTCTCGCACCCGACCGCACCTCCAAGGGCGCCTCCCAGCGGTGCTCTGAGACCTGGTGGTGGAACCAGGAGGCACGCAGGTCGGCAGGCAAGCGCTTCTCATCCAGCTGCAGGGCCAGGTCGCCGTTCTTCACCTGGGGGAGAGGGGAAGGGGCGCGTGAGGCCAATTGAACGAGGCATGGAAATTAAGGAAAGAATCATATGGATTTGTAAATCAACATGAATTTCCATTTTATTCCGTTCTGTCCTTTAGTAATCAAAACTTCTTTTAAAAAATCTGACACAAAATGGAAACTAAAACATCAGATTACAAAATGAACCGCCAATGCGAGCGAGTAAAATTACCTTCTCCTCCAACTGGTAAGCGATGTCGATCTTGTTTTCCCCGAGCAGCGTAAACTTGACCTGAGTAAGATCAGGGAGGTCAACGACGCCGACCTCGTTCTCCAGGGTCTCTGCGGTCATCGCCTTCAGGAGGTGGTTCACCTGAGAGGAGGAAGAAAAAAAGTTCAAGATCATTTTTTTTATAGTATACTGTAGAGAGACCGGCACTAAGAAAACGTTTTACTCGTGCAGTAATCTTGGAATTTGTGTAATAAATGGGTCGAGATGGTTGCTTCATTTCCCATACAGATGAAAAGAATATTCGTTACAACGACTATTTCGAAGCTATTCTAGTCAAACAATGAATTATCGCGGACTCACCTGCTCTCGAATCTGAGGCCCCTTGGCCTTGCCGAGGTGCTTCATGCCGGCCTCGCGTCCTCTGAACCCGAGTGTTACCACCACAGATTCCACGGCGACGAGGTCTGAAATAAGGTCAGAGGTCAGGGTCGAATCGAAGGAAATGTTTATTGGTGGGGATTTTAGGACTAGTTCTGTTTTGGCTTTTTATTATTTAGTATGTTTAAACACGAGGAGAATATCACACAGGGCAAGGGAAAGGTCAGAGGCCCTTTTAGTCTGCTGTGGCCATTCGTGAGCTGGTCAAGAAAGGTCAGAGGATGACTTGCAAGTTGAGAGCGAGAACGCGCCCCGGGACTCACCGCACTCCCTCTCGCCCTTGGTGAAGTAGACGGTGGGCTGCGTCTTGCGTCCGGTCTCGTCGACGCACCAGCACTTGGGGGCGTCGTCCTGCTCGAGGTCCTGCTCCTGGTACTCGTGCTCCTCCTGGAGGTGGCGGCGGCCGCTGGTGTAGCACTGCGTCGGGATGAATCTGCCTTCGTCGTCGCACTGCGCTACGTACTTCTGCGAGTTGCTCTCCTGCAGGTGCCTCTGCAGCAGCTGGCAGCGGGTCAAGGTCGGCTCGCCCTCCAGGTAGATGGTCACGGGGCCGCCCTTGACCCCCGAGGAGCTCTCGCTCTTACCGTCGTGGCGCTCGAACTTCGAGGAGGAAGACGAGGAGGAGGAGGAGGAGGGACCTTGGGCTCCGGAGACGTCGAAGACAGCGCTGTCCTCTGCGTCGGCGCTCATCTGGGCGTCGCTGCTGCTCGAGTCCTGGAGGAGAGGGGGCGGGGTTAAGGATCGGCGGGCGGAGGTCAGTGCCAGGGCGTCGCGGGGGGAATTCGGCTATTAATTCAAGGTTGTGCTGAGGCGTAGCTTCAGGATCACATAATTATAATTTTTGTTTCGGTCTTAAATGTCACAAAATACCAACGCGCTTCTCTTACCTCCTCGAAAGTGAAAGCGAGACGAGTCTTGGGCGGCGAAGTGGGCGGCAGGCAGGTGAGTGGGCGGCCGGACTCGTCCACGAAGGAGGCGGTGCAGGAGCAAGGGTCGACCTGGCACAAGGCGAGTGGGTGGCCGGGGCACGTCTTATTACGGCAGGCCTCGGCGCGGGAGCACTCCTGGGGCTCCATGCTCGCCGCCGACCAGTAGGGGCACAGCACCAGGTCTACGGGGGAGGGGGGGGGGGGATGAGAGGATTCATAACTTAAAGTTTTCATTAGAAAGAGGAAAAGGAAAATCAACAAGTCTCAGAGGGAAAGCAAATTAGATGTTTCCTACTTTACTTTTTTTTATTACAAAAGGTAAAAAAAAAAAAAAAAAAAAAAAAAAAAAAAAAAATACGATGAGTCACCTGGAAGACGAAAAAATGAGGAATAATCCATATTTTCACGTTTCATTAAAAAAAGTTCTCGAAGGCGGGGAGGAAATGCGACGTTTCATATTACTACTTTTCAAATACAAAGGAGGGAAACAAAGGAAAAAAGAAAAGAAAAACAGTACGTCAAACAGCTCTTTGTGAAAGAAAGGAGGAAGACGCCCTGTTTCATAATTCTTCTATTCGATCTCATACATTTTGAATATATTTTATTTGTCATAATAAAAATAACAAGACGTGCAGCACAAAGTCGTGTCGTCGGGAAGGAGAGATGAAAGGCCAAGTTCTAAATGTTTTTACAGTTTTTATATACAAAACTAAAGGAAAACAAACGGAAGTCTACAGGTCTTTGTGGAGGAGAGAAAATCGCGTTATTTATTGTTTTTTAGAGTACGCGTATAAAAGAGTTAATTGAAAAAACAGATATTAGACCTGTTTATATATCTTAAAAAAGGGAAGATGTTTAATCCTTCTACATTTACTTTCAGAAAAATCAAAATATTTTTTTTTCTTTACGCAGAAAACAAAAATAACTTTTACCGAAAGAATGAGAGAAAATCATTATTTAAGACTCTTGATAATTATGATATAAGTATCTACATTTTTCATATAAACTATGGATTAAGTAAGACGTTTGTGACTATTACTAACCAACATCGATATCAGTAACATTATGACCATCAATATATAGATAGAATAAAGTTTGTCAAGAAGTAAGTAGATAAACACGTAAAATTACTAAGTAATACATAAACGAATGTATAATAATGATAATGAATAATCAAAAGCAGTAACACAAAAGTACTACGACAATAATGAATGCATAACAATAGTACTAGATGGTAGTAATATTATGTGAACAAAAAAAAAACAAAAGTAATAATAATAATAAATAATAGTGATAATGATTATAAAGATACAGAAGATGTTAATTAGTGATGATGGTAAAATGATGATGGCGATGATGATGACAACCCACTCGGCAAGACCCCCAACCTTACCGGGCAGCGCGACTCGCACTCGTTCTTGGAGCGGAAGTTGTTCCCGTTCCCTCCGCAGCCGCTGTACAGGAAGGGCTCGCACTTGCGCGTCTCCACGTTGTAGTACCAGCGCGCCTCGCCGCCCGTGCACACGCCCGCCTGCACCGGCTGGCTGCAGATGTCTGAGGGGAAGGGGGAGGGGGAGGGGGCGGTCAAGGGGACTGCTGGAACGTTCTGGGTTGTGGCTGGATCGCCTCTGGCCGGCCTGATTTTGCTGACTTTTATTTCCATCGCGAGCGGGAACACAATATCCTTTACATTTGAAATATCTTTCACAATCCAATCGCAATGAACAAGCAAGACAGACAAACCCAACTGCCCTTACCGGTGTTCTGGCACTCCTGCTGGCACTCCTCCATGCTGACGAAGTTGTTGTCGTTGCCGAGGCAGCCGCCGAAGATGAACTCCTGGCACTGGTCGGCCGAGGCGTTGTAGAAGAAGCGCTTGAAGGAGGCGCGGCACATGCCCTTGGCCAGGGGCTGGGAGCAGCGCCCCTCGCAGTGCACCTTCTCGCCGCTGGCGCTGAGGGAGGAGAAGAGGAGGTGAGGGCGGCTGGGGGGGAGGGGAGGGAGAAGAGGGGGAGAGGGAGGGCTAGAAGGAGGGGGATCCTGGGAGTATATGACGTACCAAAAGTAATCATAGGAATAGTAATAATAAAAATAAGACCAAGATAAAACGATAGCAATGACCACACAATAGCGTAAAAAAACTAAGATCAACAACACACAATCATCATACAAAAATACCATTAACAACAACCACAACGAACCCTCCCCCTCCCCCCTCCCCACGACCCACCACCCGAAGACCCACCTGTAGAAGGACACGCGGCAGTCGTTGCAGGGGTCGGCCACGCAGACGGCGTCGGGGTGCGAGTGGCAGGACGCCCGCAGGCACTCGCTCCGGCACACCCTCGCCCTCGCGCCGCGCGGACACACGAACCCGACGGACACCTGCTCCAGGATCTGGCCTGCGGGGCGGAAGGAGGGATTAGAACGGGTTGGATGGGGTCACAAGGGATTGGTAGGGGGTTAAAAGGGATTAGAAGGATTAGAATGGATTAGGATGAGGTTAGAAGGATTCAAAGGGATTTAAAGACATTAGGATGGGGTTAGAAGAGATTAGAAGGGGTTTAAAGGGAGAAAGGATTAGGATGGGTTAGGAGAGATTAGAAAGGGGTTAAAGGATTAGGATGGTGGTTAGAAAGATTAGGGATGGGGTTTAAAGGGATTTAAAGAGATTAGGATGGTGTTAGAAGAGATTAGATGGGGTTTAAAGGGAATTTAAAGAGATTAGGATGGGTTAGAAGAGATTAGATGGGGGTTTAAAGGGATTTAAGGATTTAGGATGAGGTTAGAAGAAATTAGCAGGGTTTAAAATGGATTAAAAGGGATTAGAAGGATAGAATGGATTGGAAAGTATTAGAAGGATTAGGATAAAAGATTGACAACTGGTGTCAGAATAAAGATTGTGTAAATGCTATATTTGTTTTCATTGCGAGTGGATATTTATCCCACTTTATGCTGCGTCTTTATGACATATCCCTCGCAATAAAAACAAATATTTTTTCACACGCAATGCATATTAAAATCAATTAGAAATGGACCCCAAAACAGAAGAAAATTATTCCCACAAAAACAACTACAGCAATAAAACAAAAATTGAAATGCTAAAAGTATCAAAACGAACGAACAAAGAAACATGAAACGAAATAAAAAGAAAAGTTAAAATAAACTTTTGGTTTTGAATCGTCCACATTGCCACAAACTATTTCATGTAATGATTTCATATTTGCGAAAATCCGCATTTGATACACCGCTATATTCAAAAACATTAAAACAACGAACGAAAACAAGCGTAAACTTTTTTCGGTTTTCAGAAAAAAAGGTGAAACGAAAATGAAATATCTCTTTCTCCCTATTTTTCTATCTCTATTAATCTATATCTTATTATTTCTCTCTTTTCTCTCTATCTTTCTATCTTCCCTCTCTCTCTCTTCTCTTCTTCTCTATTTCTCTCTTCTCTCTTCTCTCTTCTCTCTCCTTTCTATTTCCTCTCTCTCTCTCTCTCCCTATCTCTCTCTCTTTCTTTCTATTTCTCTCTCGCTCTCTCTTTCTATCTTCCTCTCTATTCTCTTTCTATTTCTCTCTCTCTCTCTATCTCTCTCTCTCTCTCTCTCTTATAACCTGTACTTTATTATATCAACTTCCACGCTGGCTCTCGTAACCCGCGTACTAATTTGATCAAACAGCAATTACGCTTCCAAATAAATTACGCATTATTGTCATTAGTTGTCCGACACTAATACGGTTTCACTAATGACTTCAGCATAATCGTGCATCTCTATTTTGCGTTCTCATGTATATATATACAAATAAAAGGCATATCCTTAGAATTCCTGTTAATGATCATAATGAGGCTCATTATCTAAACAAATTAAAAATGGGCTAAATTACCGTTCTTCATTAACGTAATCCTGGTGATATTTTTAATTACAAAGCAAAAGCTCGTCTTTTTAATTATGAACAGACCAATAACAAAGAGAGATTATTATACCTGCATAGTGATCATGAGAATAAGAATGAGAAAAATGATAAGAATCATGTTAATGATAGTAACGAGAGAAGAAAGAAGGATAATAAGAGCGAAAACAATAATGATAATAATAACACTATTGATAAAAATAATGGCAACAATATGATAATGATAATTGTCATGATGATGATGATGAAAATAATAATAGTAAATGATACTTAAAATGACCATATACTCATCATAATAACAACACAAATATGACGAACACCAAATAATAAACCATTACTCAAAGATATCGATGATAATAAACAACACCAGACTAATGTCAACAACAGCAACAAAACTCATAATAGTCACCCTAATGACAGGGCTAATCAAAATGACTAACACAGGCCGCTCTAACTACACGACCGGCAGTTCGTTATTACTGCAATAACTATAAAATCACGGCTCTTTATGCCAATAGTACTGCCACTGCTATAACGTCTATACTTTTGTCACGCCTGAAACAGTGCCACTTCTCTTGACATCAGTGCTACAACCACTACTATAACAGTACTACGGATTCTGTTATATCAAGCACTAGGGCTATGTTTGTGATATGAGGTCTACTGCTACTACTATAATAAAACTGATATGAGAACAATGAAACTGTTACAACAATAATGCTACAACAATACTAAAACTACTATCTTAATCGTACAACTACAACTGCTACAACCACTTCTATCACACTTATACTACAACTGCTACAACTACTGTCACAGCTATTATTACGTAAACTACTATTATTCCTCCCGCCACTGCTACAACTGCTACTATTGTGATAACAAAGCTGCTATTATTACACTGCTCTATTGCTATTACTACAACACTACCACAACAACAATGCTAATAGTCCTCCTCCTCCTACTACTACTACTGCCATACTAGCAACACTATTACATTGGCAACACCATTTCTCCTTCAATAACTTCAACAACAACGTAAAAGACAATGACCATAGCCAGTGTAATGCTGCTACAACTACTTTAACAACATTTCCATCGTAACAACAACGCAAATACTACAACTACCGCTACTGGAGCAACAATACTACCACCACTACAACAATTACAATACTACTACCACAACCGTAACAGCAAGAACAATGAGTAATTAATAACAAGAGTAATAACCAATAATAACAAGAGTAATAACCAATAATAACAAATAATAACCAATAATAAAAATAAGAGTAATAACCAATAATAACAAGAGATCAATAACCAACAACAACAAAAAGATCAATAACCAACAACAAAAACAAGATCAATAACCAACAAAAAAAAAACAAGAGCAACAACACAACAGCTGACAGCCTAGCGACATGTCCCCAACATGTTTCGCCAGGGCGCCTCACCGTTGGGTCCGCAGCGCACGTGTCCTCGGGTGAGCGTCTCGTGGATGGGGCGCCCCTTGGCATCCACGCACCAGGTCAGGCCGCCCGAACGCTGCTCGCGGGCGTACCCTCCGTCGGCCTCGCACACGGGCGCCTGGACCGTCATGCCCTGGGCGGAGGCGGGCGTCTCTGTGGGCGGGAGAGAGAGAGAGAGAGGGAGGTGAGTGGTGGGCGGGTGGGTGGTGGAGGGGGGAGGAGGTGAGTGGTGGAGGTGGTGGAGGAGGGAAGAAGGAAGAAGGGAGGAAGAAGGAAGAAGGAGGAAGGAGGAAAGGAGGAAGGGAAGAGAGGAAAGAGAGAAGAGAGGAAGAAAGAGAAGAGAAGAGAAAGAGAGAGGAAGAGAGAAAGAGAAGAGAGGAAGAGAGAGGAGAGAGAGAGAGAGAGAGAGAGAGAAGAGAGAGAGAGAGAGAGAGAGAGAAGAGAGAGAGAAAGAGGAAAAGAAGAAATGAGAAGAGCAGAAAAGATATATATGAGTACATATACACACATATGTATACCCATACTGTATGCACATACATACCTGTGTGAGACCACACACACACACACACACACACACACACACACACACACACACACACACACACACACCACACACACACACACACAAAAATCCAGCACCCCCCTCCCCCCTCCCCCCGTCGACCCCAACCTCCCGCCGGCGCCTTGAATACCCCTCTCGGAATAACCCGGGCAAACAACCCGAGCCACGGGCGCCCCCAACGACCGCGAGAGACAAGGGGCCGCCCCCAAGCCCCGCAAGTGGCCCCACAAAGCCTTCTCGGGGCGTGTAATGGTGTCACCGCCCTCATCAACACAGGTGGCTCGAGCAGGTGTTTGTGGGCGTGTGTACCTCTCTCTGGGGCGTTGTGTGTTGCGCTAAAGAGGTTCCTATTTACATATCATTAAGTTTAAGAAAAGGAGTGTGTTTTGGGGAGCCGCGCCCCCCTTTTTTCTCTCTTATTCGCTCTGTTGACATTCTTTTTTTTTGTAAGCGTGTGTGTGTGGTTTTTTTTTTTTAAATGTTTTTTTTTCTCTTTTGTTTCTTTTTATTGCAGACTTCTGGGTCGTATGAAACTTTTTTTTTTTTACTTGTCTGATGCTTCATTTTAGCTTGCAAGATTTTTTTTACCCCGTTTTTTTCTTCTTCCCCTTTTTTCTTCGTATTTTCTCCCTTCCCTCTTTCTTAATTCTTTTCTCCCTTCTTTCTTAGGTTTTTCTCCTTTTCCTCTTTTATTAAGGCTTTCCTTTCTTTCCATCTTTCTTTTTTCCTCCTTCTTTCTTAGGTTTTTCTCCTTTCCCTCTTTCATTAAGGCTTTCCTCTCTTACCACTATCTTGTCTTTCGCCTCTTACCTCCTTCGCTATCCTCATTCTATCTTCTTTCCTTCTTTATCCTCATTCTATCTTCTTTCCCTCTTTATCCTCATCCTTTTCTTCCACCCTTCTTGGAAGTTTTATTTCCTCTCTGTGTCTTCACCGTCTTTGTTTTCTCCCATTTTTGCTATCTAATTCCTCTTTATCATTATCTCCCTTCTCTCTCTTTTTCACCTGTTCTTTCTCCCTTCTATTTATTTAAATTCACTTTCTCTTCTGTCACAGTAAATTTTGTTCAACCCAAGTTCTTCGTACAAAATATATAACGTTAGGCTCTGTCGCCCAAGTTATTTCAGTATCTAACCGTTACATAACCTCATTTTAAAGAACATGACCTGACTTTCAAACTTTAAACTTTTACCAAAAGAAAACTGAATTATTTTGCGCATGTGTGCCATAGTTTTTACATATATTTGACCTAACTTTACCTAAATGGACTTAGAAGATATTAGTGTAAGTATATCTCTTCACATTACCTAAATCTATCATAGTTATGCCAATAATACTAAACATACAATGGCATAATATGCACCCGTTTTCTCTGAAAATTCCCCTACGTAGTCATCAGTCATGTCCCATTAAAAAGCTTTAGATAATATATCTTTTAACGTTCCACTTTTTGACACGGTTTCTCCCGCCCCGTATGCCTTGACAATTCCCCTTGACATTTCCTCTTCCATTCTTTAATAACATCCCTCCGATGTTTAATACGTGTCCTACATATCCCTGACATACGCCTCACTATCCTTAACATAAAAGATTCTTTGACATACCCTCTTTTCTCCTTGGTATACCCCTCCCCCTCATATCCTTGACGTACCCTCAAGTTCCTTCACCTGCCCCCGGTATCCTATCCCTGACCCCTGACCCCGGTATCCTATCCCTGACCCCTCCTATCCCTGACCTATCCCTGACCCTGACCCGCCCGCTTACCTTGCGGCTCGACGCACTCGGCCCCGCAGCCATTGAAGCAGCACTTTCGGGATCCTTCGCAGTGGGTATCGAACGTGCACTGCTGGCTGGGCACGCACGTCAGCAGGGACACGTCGCTGGGGGGGCTGGGGCACGTGCCGGGCTTGGGTACCAGGTCTATGTGGGGCGGGGCACGGGGCACGGCGGGGCACGGCGCGGCACGGCAGGTACACAGGCAGGCAGCACGGGCATGCAAGCAGGCAGGGTGGGGAGTTACTCTACGTGCAAGGGTTGGGGCATGGGGGGTATGGGTGGATGAGGGGCTGGGGCATGAGGGGCAGGTGGGCATGGGGGTGGGTGGGGCATGGGGGTGAGGTGGGGGCAGGGGGCATGCGGGTGAGGGGCATGGGGGGGTGTGGTGAGGGGCATGGGTGGGTGGCAAAGGGCAAGGTGAGGGGCAAGGGGCATTGGAGAGACATGGGTGGGTGGGCATGTAAGTTTGTGCCTGCATGTGTTTGTCTGTCTGTCTGATAGTACATCCGCGCGCGTGTGTGCGTACGTGTTTGCGTGTACGTGTTTTCGTGTATGTGTTTGCGCGTCCGTGTGCGTCCGTGTGCTTGTATTTGCACGTATGTCATTACTGTGAATTCTTGTACATGTGTATTTGGATGAGCGCATAAAGAACAGGACAGCGAAGGGAGGAAATGCAAAGAGAAGCAGCGTGCGAAATATTTTACAGTAAATATGAGTAAACAAGTGCAAGAAGGAATTCTGCATGCACGTGTACAGGGAACAAGACCTGTGTGGATATCAGGACACGAGTCCACGCATAAACACACGCATAAAGAAGCGCACACACACAAACACATACGCACACGGTCGCTCTCTCTCTCTCTTACCCTCCCCCTATACACACACACAAACACGCAAACACAAACAGACACACACAATGTACACACAAACAAACACATACAGACACACACACTCTCTCTCTCACACCCCATGCACACACAAACACGAACAGACACACACACAACACAAACAGACACACACACAAACACAAACAGACACACACACAAACACAAACAGACACACACACAAACACAAACAGACACACACACAAAACACAAACAGACACACACACAAAACAAACACACTCTCTCACCCCCTCAATACCCCCCCCACATCCTCTCCCCTCCCCACACCCCCACACCCCCACACCCCCACAGCCTCAGTCCGAGAGTTCAGCCGACCACACACGCCAGACATTCACAAAGTGTACGATTCACAAATCCCAGCGGATAACATTTCTCCTTTGGCCTAAACTAATGCTATTTCCTTTAACTTTTTTTATACGTCTTGCTTTCTGCTTTCATTTTCTTTTACTCTTTTTTATTTTCGTGTTTTCTTTTCTCGTTTTCTTTATCCAAGTCTTCATGTTTTATGAGGAGGGCCTGGGGTATCCGGGGCTTCATTCTGACTTCGCAATGGGGAAGTCAGGGAAAACAGACTAAACTTTTTGATATTTATTTATTCATTATTATCATTATGTTTTTGTTTTTTGGGGGGTTAATTTTTTATTTTTATTTTTTCTCTTCTCTCGGCTTTTTTCTCTATCTCTGTTTCTCTCTGATTATATCTATGTCAGATTCTTCTCCCTCTCTGTGTCTCTTTCACTCTCTCTCTCTCTCTCTCCCTTCTCTCTTCCTAAACCTCTCATTTTCTCTTCCTCTCTCTCTCTTTCTCTTGCTCTCCCTCTCACTCTCTCTCTTTCTCTTTCTCACCCTATCTCTCTCTCTCTCTCTCTCTCTCTCTCTCTCTCTCTCTCTCTCTCTCTCTCTCTCTCTCTCTCTCTCTCTCTCTCTCTCTCTCTCTCTCCTCTCTCTCTCTCTCTCTCTCCCCCCCTCATCCACTCACCCTCTCTTCCCCTAAATTATTCAATGTTAATGAATTCGTAATGATTCTTTTTTCTTCTTCTTCAGCTCATTTGCATAAACTTCTCGAAACTTGTAACTTCTGTGATTAGTGGTGGAAACATGAGGATCAGAACCTCTCGGGATAAAGATTCATGTTGTACTTACGCTGTAAATGTATGTGTGCGTATTATTTTTTTGTGTGCACATACGTATAAATACATGTAGAGACTATGTATACATATATATGCTATTTTCACACACACGTACACGCGCACGCACGCACGCACGCACACACGACACACACACACACACACACACACACACACACACACACACAGACCAGTCACTCAAACCATCAGCCAATATTGCAATTCATGCAGATATACAGGTTTCAATAATATTCATGCTTGCAATATCATTGTCCCGGTTAAGCATGCCGTTGAGGAGGGAGGAGGGAGGAGAGGGAGGAGGGAGGAGGGAGGGAGAGGAGAGGGAGGGAGGGAGGGAGGAGGAGAGAGAGAGAGAGAGAGAGAGAGAGAGAGAGGAAGGAGAGAGAGAGAGAGAGAGAGAGGAAAAGAGAGAGAGAGAGAGAGAGGGAAGAGAAGGAGAGAAGAGAGAGAGAGGAGAGGAGAGAGAGAGAGAGGAGAGAGGAAGGAGGAGAGGAGAGAGAGAGAGAGAGAGAGAGAGAGAGAGAGAGAGAGAGAGAGAGAGAGAGAGAGAGAGAGAGCGAGAGAGAGAGAGAGAGAGAGAGAAGAGAGGAGAGAGAGAGAGAGAGAGGAGGAGAGTGAGGAGGAAGAAGAGGAGAGAGATTAGAGATGAAGAGAAGAGAGAGAAGAGAAGATAAGAGAGAGAGAGAGAAGAGAGAGATGAGAGAGAGAAGGGAGAGAGAGAGAAGAGAGGGGAGAGGGAAGGGAGAGAGAGAAGAGATGGGAGGGGGAGAAGAGGAAGAAAGGAGGAGGAGAGAGGAAGAGGAGGAGGCAAGGAAGGCAGAGAGAAAGGACGGTGAGGCGAGATGAGAGGAAGGAGGCAGGGAGTGGAAGGAGGACAAGGAGGGGAGGAGAGGAGGCAAGAGGAGGGAAGGGGAGGCGAGGAGGAGGAGGGGAGGAGGGAGGAGAGGGAGGGGAGACGAGCACAGAAAGATGTCTCGAGGCTTTTTCCTTTGTCTTATTTTCATTTCAAAAGAAACTCTATTCGCTGAATTAACATCAGCGTCTCGTCTGGAGTTAAGACAATGCTTTACGCTCTATATATTTTAAACGAATATCAACTTTACATACCGTGGCTTTCATAAAAAAAAAACACAAAAGAAAGAACCGATTCGTGAACATCTCTCTCAACGAACACTTATTGAAGAAAGATTAAATATAAACACACACACGCACCAGAAGTCGTAGGAGAGGACCACTTACCCCTTAAAGAGGCTCCACTTCCTCAAGACGTGGGGATTACTTAACGAGTCTTTGTCTGAGGTTAGTCGGAGACGCAAGGGTCTAGCAAGCGAAGCCTAATCCCGTTTTAAAAAGGTCTTTGGTGTTCTTAACGCTGTATCGACTATGTTAAGATATACCTTTCCTTGTATAATAACATGGCCCTCTTTTTTAATATATTTTTTTTTATATATTCTTTTTTTATATATTCTTTTTATCTATTTCAATTCCTGTGTTGATATGTAATCTACGTTATCGATTGTAATATATTTCTGTATGTTTCCCGTGTTGGTATGCAATCTATATCATCTACCGTAATGAATTAGATGATATTTATGTAACATACGTCATCTATCGTAGTTCATTCATGCGTGTGTGTAAAAGTTGTGGTTTCGAGAAGCACACAGGCCAAAACGCACACCATAACAGAAACAAGAGAAGAATATATATATGTTCTGACGACTGCGCGGAGAACAAGCATCCCGTATCACAAGGGAATATAAAAATGAGCAGCAAAATAATTGAGATGCAGAAGAGAGCATATTTTCTTTTTTCTTAAGAAATGGACAGGATATTTGAAGTGAAGAAAGCACAGAAGTCAAGAAAATACAAGGTGGACAGAGAAATAAGATATATCTTTTTCTACATCTTCAAATGTAATGACTAAATCAACATAAAAGCAAAAATCAAAAAATGTATACGTCAGTTGCCATAAACAGATACAGTTCATATAACATATACACAAAAACCAAGGTGTTCTTCGAGCCAAGCTGACCCTCCAGCGCAAGGGTCGAGACTCACCTTCAGTAGGGACGGCCTCGAAGGTGTCGTCGAGGGTGAGGCGCGGGGGAGGGAAGTCGTCCTCGAGACCGAAGGAGTTGCTCCCCTCGAGGGCGGGGCCGGCCAGGTGCATCTCCAGGTCCTCGGGGTCGACGAGACTCGATTCCTCAAGGGGCGACTCGGGCACGGTCTCCTGAAGAAGGCGGAAGTGTTTTTTATATGTAATTCTATTTTCAAAATTCTAATTTCTTACAACTTCATATCGTGAGCATTTTCCCGCGGCCACAGGAGGCCCTGGCGGCGCCTCACCTGCGGCAGCGCCCTGGCCTTCCTCAGATGCTCCTGCGCCTCGGCCACGACGTCTCCGGACACGGTGAGGCTCCTGCCGAGGTCGCTCTCCTCGAAGTTCATGTGGCGGCCTCCGCGGCGGCCCGCCGGGAGGGGCGTGTCCTCGGAGGGCGCCGCGCTGGAGGCGGGGTCGACGGGGACGGCCTGGTCGATCGGGAAGTGGAACACGTCCACGTTGCGGTACAGGTCCACGTCGTAGTGCACGCGGTTGTCGGTGTCCTCGGCGTCGGAGGAGGGGAACCTGCGACCTGCAACGGGGAGGGGGGGTCAGGCCTTCTCCTAGGGGGCGGGGGGAGGGTGGTGGCACGTGCGTCGAGGCATCTGGCATCCAAATCTTTCTTTCTCCTACAACAATATTACACATTGCTCGCGGGCCGTCCTAACACCCTGGCCAACACCCATAAAGTAATTCTACAAAAACATGAAAAAAATGAGAATACCACAAAAACCCTACAGAACCCCATAACTAAACCCCACAACCCCTTAAAAAGAAAAAAGTGAGAGAGAGAAAACAAAAACAAAACAGGAACCCCACACACAGCACATGACCCTCTAAGGCGACCGGCGAAGGCCAGCGCGGGCCTGGTGAAGATGGGCGAGTTAAGGACCCTCTGCAGCTCCCTCTGGCACTCCGTCAGGCCCGTCTCGCAGTTCACGGGGGAGTTGAAGGCGTCCACGAACTGCACGGAACACCCGCCGCAGGGGTTGACGCGGCAGACGGCGTGAGGGTGCGAGAAACACACCTGGTTCTCGCACAGCTGCTTGTCGCACACGTGCACGGTCTGGCCGGGCTCGCAGACTGTTTGGGTAAGGGGGGAGAGAGGGAAAAGAAAAGAAGGGGAGAGAAAGAGAGGGAGGAAAGGGGAAAGAGAGGGGGAGGGAGGAAAGAAGAGAGGATAGGGGGAAGAAAGGGTGCAAGAGGGAGGAGAGGGGGGAGGCAAGGGGAAGGAAGAAGGGGAGGAAGGAGAAAGGACAAGTGGCGAGGGAGAAAGGGAAGGAGAAGAAGGAGAAGGGGAGAGAAAAAAATGATAAATTAGTATTTCTCCCATTTCTTTTTCTCCAGAGATAGAATGAATGTATCAATTCAATTACTTCACTGCCTTGAAAAAGTTCGGATTATATTGGTATTGTAGTTATTCTTTTATACACACGCATTTTGATGTTTGAATTTTTCTAGTTATATTATATATGCAAAAGCTTCTTCATTCTTGACTTCCCGGAACAAAAGAATTAGTAAATAAGCGAACAGAAAAGAAATCATATCATTTCAAAATAATTCATATCAGAAAAAAATAGTTCTGAAATCATAATATTTTTTTTTCACACCAATTTAAAGAGAATGAAAAACAGACAATCTTAACTCCGAGAGAAACATGAATAAATGAATAAGTAAATAAATAAATAAATAAATAAATAAAAACATACAAACACAAGAACAATATTAACAAAACAAAACAAATAAACCCGATCATCATCAACTCACTCATATTGGTGGGCGTGGTGGGGTCAAAGTTCATCCTGCGGGAGGCCCTGGCGGCGCCCTGGCACTGGGGGGCACCGCGGGTGAGGGAGCCTGGCACCTGGTCGCCCTGGGGGGTCACGCACCAGCACACGCCCAGCTCCTCCAGGCACTGCTCGGGAAGCCACGCCCCCGTCTCTTTGGAGCACTTCGGGATAAACTTCAGCTGGAAAAAAACAACAACAATAATAAGTATAGAAGGATTTATTATTATCATTATTATCTGTTTTTATTATATTTATCTATCAAAACATCAACAATAATAAGTATAGAAGGATTTATTATTATCATTATTATCTGTTTTTATTATATTTATCTATCAAAACATCAACAATAATAAGTATAGAAGGATTTATTATTATCATTATTATCTGTTTTTATTATATTTATCTATCTATTTATTTATCTTTCTTTTCTGGGGGGTTCTGTGTCCTAGAGGTCCCATCACACAAGCACATTTTGCGTCAATTTTTGCGTTTCCGTCTGAATTTGAACTCCCGTTTCTGTCTGACAAATTATCGCCTTGATCTTGTACTCTGCAGAATCTACACAACTGTAATGTTTTTTTTATTGATATATTAGATATGATAACTTAATTCAAATATAAGTTAATATACTAGAGTATCTATATATTCAATAAACATAATTAAATTTCTTTAAAATGTCGTGATATGAGAATGCGCGTGTGATTCCCGGGACCTCACTCAGATGGCGCCATGTTTGTTTACACTTGCGCCATGTTTGCTGCCTAGTCGTGTGACAGAGACAGTCCATTTACAAACGGAAATTTCATACGGAAACAAAAAATGACGGAAAAGCACACACACATACATATCATTTCTCCCTTTTTTCCCCTCCCCTCCTCCTCCTCCCCTTCCCTCTCTCTTCGTTTTCTCCCTCTCCCCTCATTTCTTTCTCTCTCCCTCCTTCCCATCCCTCATCCTCATTTCTCCCTCCTTCCCCCCCCCTCCCCCTTCCTCTTTCTCCCTCCCTACCCCTTACCTTCTTATTCTTATCCGCATTCCTCAGGTTCTTCTCCCTCACCCTCACCTCCCTTTCCCCTCCGTCTCTCTCCCTCATCCTCATTTCTCCCTCCTTTCCCTCCCCCTCATTTCTTTATCTCCCCCTCCCCTCCCCTTCCTCCTCCCTCTCCCCCCTTCCTCACCTTCTTATTCTTATCCGCATTCCTCAGGTTCTTCTCCCTCATCCTTTCGCACGAGGTGAGGACCGGGCACGTGGCCGCGCACTCCCCCTGGCTCTCGAAGTTGTTGAGGTTCCCGCTGCAGCCTCCGAAGCGGAAGGTCTCGCACCTGTTGCTCTCGGGGTTGAAGTACACCTCTTGATGCGCCCTCGCAGTAGCCGGCGTCCTTCGTAGCAGATCTCGCCGGGGAGGGAAGGGAAGGGGAGAGGCGCGAGTGGGGAGAGGGAAGTGGAAGGGGAAGAAGGGAGGGGGGGTTGGGGTTGGAGTGGGAGCCGGGTCCTGGAGGGGGTTGGGTTGGAGTGGGAGAGGAGAGGGAATGGAAGGAGGGGGAGGGATGTTGGGTTGGAAGGAATGGGATGGAGTGGGAAGAAGTGAAGGGTAGTTAAGAGGGATGGAGATAAGGAGTTGGGGTGGATGGCAGTTTGGGGAGGGGGTGGATAGCAAGGAATAAAGGAAGACGAGAAAGAAAACAAATAAAGTTAGTTTGATGAGTGAGGAGTGATGCAGCTAATTATGAGATGGGTTGAGTGGTGAGTTGCGGGGGGGTGAGCTAAAGTGAGGAACAGTGAATGAGTGAGTCAATGAGCTATTATGAGACTGGGCCATCACAAGCTAGTTAATGAGGAGTGATATCAGTATTAAGTTATTCATCACAAGCAAAAACAAATATATACATACACATACACATACATACATAAACATACACACACACACACACACACACACACACACACACCGACACACACACACACACACACACACACACACACACACACACACACACACACACACACACACACACACACACACCGACACCCCCCCCACCCCCCCCCAACACCCAAAGGAGAAATCACAAATTAAGTCACAACAATGGCCTTCTCCGAAACTCCACCCGCTGACTTCAGGCGCTTTCCCGGGGACAACAACAAACCAAAAAACAAACAAAATAACTGAACATCACGCTAGACTGACTCCCCAATAAATCTGTCATAAAACCCCCTTAAACCCCAAGATGAACTCTGTGGCAGGAGATTAAATCCGGATGCTGGATTGTACACCTTTAATATGAGGAGTCCAAAGCCATCGACGGCATTTCGAACGCCGGTGGGGGAAAAAAATGGCGGAATTCCCCAAGATTGAAACCTTGTGACTATATTAAAAACAAGAACGAGAAGAACAAGAACAGGTACGGGAACGAGAACAAGAAAAAGAACGAGAAGAACAAGAATAAGAACAGCAAGAACAAGAACAAGAACGAGAACAACAAAAACAAGAACAAGAACAGGTGCGGGAGCGAGAGCAAGAAAGAGAACGAGAACAACAACAAGAACACAAGAACAAGAAGGAAAACAGAACAGAGCAAGAAGAACAAGTACAAATGCAAAAACGAGAGGAAGAAGAACGAGAACAACAACAAGAACAGCAAGAACAAGAACAAGTGCGAGAAGAAGAGCAAGAACGAGAACGAGAACAAGAAGAACAGCAGGAACAAGAAGGAGAACAATAACAAGAACAACAAGAAGTACAAGTACAAATGCGAGATAGAGAGCAAGAAAAAGATTGAGAACAACAAGAGCAGCAAGAACAAAACAATTGGAGAACGAGAGCAAGAAAAAGAACGAGAACAACAAGAACAGCAAGAACAAGAACGAGAACAGCAGCAACTTCAACGACAACGAGGAAGACAACAACAACAACAAAAACGACAACTACAACAACGACTATACAAAAAAAAATCGCATCCATTTTCTATTTACATTTTTTTTTTTTTATAGGAAATCAATAAGAGCGATTCGTGTTTATGTTTCTAATGTTATTTGATCCGCCTCTCTTCCTGTTTTCTCTTCCGTCTCTCTTCCGCTTCTCTCTTTTGTCTTCTCTTTGTCTTCTCTCTTTCGCCTCTCTTCCTCTTCTCTCTTCTCTCTTTCGCCTCTCTTCCTCTTCTCTCTCTCTCTTTCGCCTCTCTTCCTCTTCTCTCTTCGCCTCTCTTCCTCTTCTCTTCTCTCTCTTCTCTCTCTCTTCTCTTCTCTTCTATCTCTCTTTGTCTTCTCTCTTTCGTCTCTTTTCCGTCTCTCTTTTTCTTCTCTCTTCCTCCTTTCGTTTGTTTGTTTCTTTCTCGTCTTTCATCTGTTTTCGCTTTTTTTCTGATTTCATTTTTCCTCTCTTCTTCCCATTTTTTTCTCCCTTCTCTCTTTTATCTAATTTCCATCTTCACTAATTTCGCTTTCTTGCTATGCTTTCAACATTCCATCTACCTTCTTTTTCGTTTCTTCTTCTATTCTCTCGTTCGTCTAATTTCCCTCTCACTTTTTTTCTTTGATTTATCTCTCGCACTTCATCTATTTTTGTTCTTTCTTTCGTTTTGTTTCTTCGCCTACTCCTAATCCTCCTCTTCCTTCTTATCCCCCCTGCATCCTCCTTTCCTTCTCCACACCACCACCTCCTCCTCTTCTCCCTCACTCTCCCTTCTCCCGCTCCTCTCTCCTTTCCATCTCCATCTTCCTCTTCCCATTTCCCTCTCTCCTTTCCTCTTTCCTCTCCACACCCACCACCTCCCCTCCTTTCCTCCTCCTCCTCACCTCCATTCTTTCCCCTCCTCTCTCCTTTTCCTCCTCCACACCCACCACCTCCCCTCAACTCCTCACTTCCCTTCTCCTCCTCTTCCTCTTCCCCTCCCCCCCTTCTTTCCTCCCTCCACACCCACCTCCCTCCTCTCCTTTCCTCCTCCTCCTCTTCTTCTTCTCCCTGACCCCCTTTCTTCCTCTTCCACACCCACCGCCTCCTCTCTCCTTTCCTCCTCCTCCTCCCTCACCCACCACCTTCCCCCTCCACCTCCCTCCTCTCTCCTTTCCTCCTCCTCCTCCTCTCCTCCCTCACCCACCACCTTCCCTCCACCTGCTCCCCTCCACCTCCCACCTCCACCTCCTCCTCCTCCTCCTCCTCCTCCTCTCCCCCCTCCATCTCCTCCTCTCTCCTTTCGTCCTCCTCCTCCTCCTCCTCCGTCCGCCATTCATCGTGAGCCCAGGCCTGGAGTGCACGCAACTGCAAGCGCTTCTCCACTCCAGCCGTTGCAGCGAGAGCACAAATAATTACTTCTATGATGATCCCGTTAAATCATTCGTTCTCCTCCTCTCTCTCTCTTTCTCCTATTCTCGTTTTCTTTTTCTCTTTCTTTCTTGTTGTTTATCTTCGCTTTGTTGTTGTTACTGATATTCTCTTTCTTGTTCTTTTCTTTCTTCTTCTTTCTCCTACTTCTTTCTTCTTCTTTTTCTTTCTCCTTCTTTATCTCTCTTTTTCTTTCTCTTTCTTCTTATTTCTCTTTCCTTTTTCTCTCACTCTCTTCCTCGAATTATCATTAATCCTTTTTCGCTCTCTTTTCTTTCGCTTTCAGTCAATTCGTTTTCTTGAATTCCATTCACTTCTCCCTCTTTTATTTCTCCTCTCTCTCTTCCAGTCTTCGTTCATCTCCTTTTACAATGATCTCCTATCGCTTCTTCATTTGTAGTTAATAAAAATGACAAAAATCGAGAAAAACAACAACATATTCAGATGAATAAACACGGCCAGTATATACAGTATACTTGTCTCAGTATATTCCCAATGGTCCCGTTTTCAGAAGACTAAACAAACCTGTGCAAATACTGTATATCAAAACAATCGATAGACGAACATCTAAGATATAGACAAAGAAAGATAAGAAACAAACATAAACGTGAATATAAATAGACACAAAGAAAATAACGAACGCAGAATACTCTATATATATACAAACACACACTCACACACACATAAACACTTCGTCAAACACACGTAGCCGCTCCCCTTACAAACATAAACACTTCGTCAAACACACATACATCCCTCTTTATATACAAACACTCACAAACCTCTCCCCTTTTATATACACAACCATCCTCACCTCACAAATACACACATATACAATCCCACCCCCTCTTATATACATACACAAACAGCCCCTCCTCTTATACACCCCACCCTAAAAAACAAACACACAAACATCCACCCCTTTTATACATAACACCTCCCCCTTACAAACACAAACGCACACACACTCACCCCTGGGCACCCCTCACAAACAAAAACACACACCCACACACAAAAAAAACTACACTCACAAATACAAAGTCATACACTCGCTCAGCCCTGGATGCCCCCTCACAACAAGCAAACAAACAAACACTCATACACACAAACACGCACATCCCTGAACACCCCCTCACAAACAAGCAAACAAACAAACACACACACACACATATACTCACAAATACAAAGCCACACACACGCCCAGCCTTGGACACCCCCTCACATACGCACACACACAAACACAAACGCACCCGCCCGCACGCCCCTGCCGAGCGAACGACAGAGCGCTGAGGCCTCGTGCGCTGACAACTCCTACTCACGTGGCTTAGGGCAGCAGAGAGCGTACTCGCCCAAGGGGGAGAGGTGACACTTGTGGCTCGAGGGGCAGGTGCTTCCCTCCGGCCCGCACTCCACCACGCTCTCGTTGGTTCTCAAGGCGAGCCTGGGGACGTGGGTGGGAGGGAGTTGGGTGGAGGGTAAGGTTGGAAAGGAGGAAGTGAGGAGGAGGAAGGGGGAGAGGGAGGGGGACGGGTTGGGAGGGAGTGGAAGGAGTGAGTGGAGGAGGGAGGGGAAGGGGAGGGGGGAGTGAGGGGAGTGAGGAGGGAGGGAAAGGAGAGAGGGGAAGGGGAGTGAAAGGGAGAGTGGGGACGGAAGGATAAAGGGAAGGGAGGGAGAGAAGTTACGAAATCGAGGTTAGTGATGCTTCGCTGTTGTGAATGTCAGAGAGAAATGCTTGGCCTCCTTAGTGTTGTCTGTTGTCTGTCTGTCTATCTGTCTGTCTGTCTGTCTGCCTGTCTATCTGTCTCCTCTCTCTTTCTTAAATATTTTTATTACTATTTTTGACTCTGTTTTTTTAAATATTTTTTTTTACTTGTTTTTTGCGTTATTCTGCTTAATGATCTCTGTTCAGCGAATTCTTGACGAGATTTTTAAAGACTGTTTTGTGCAATTTCAAGTTCTGTAAGAAAGTTCTGTTATTCATGCAATCTTTCCATGTCCCTCCTCTCTCTTCACATTCTCTCTCTCATATATATATAATATATATATATATATATATATATATATATATATATATATATATATATATATATATTCTCTCTCTTCTCTCTCTCTCTCTCTCTCTCTCTCTCTCTCTCTCTCTCTCTCTCTCTCTCTCTCTCTCTCTCTCTCTCTCTCTCTCTCTCTCTCTCTCTCTCTATATATAATATATATATATATATATATATATATATATATATATAAATATTCTCTCATTCTCTCCCATTCTCTTCCTCCCTCCCTCCCTCCCCCCCCCCCACCCGCACTTACCATAAGGACAGGGGTTCTCCAGGCGGGGCAGGCACACGGGCAGGGGCGGGCACGGCTCGTCGACGCAAGCCACGTGGACGATGCGGCACTCCTCGAGGGGCGTGGCGCAGCTGACCTCCTCGCAGGGGTCACGGCAGGCGCAGACGGGGCATCCGGAGCCGTCGAGGCGGTACCCGTGGAGGCAGGCGAGGTCGCAGTTCATGGCGGGGCACACCAGCGGCTCCTGAAGAAGGGGGAGGTTGGGCTTCACTTGGGTGGATATTTTTTTTAACTATTTCATTATCTGTTTACTTGCTCGTTTATCAATTTTTTATCTATTTAATTAACTGTTTCCTTGTTCGTTTATTTATCTGCCTACTTGCTTATTTATGTATTTATCTATCTATTCATTTATTTATCTATTAACTTATCCAATTATTCTTTTTTTGTGGGAGAACAACTTTGTTTTACTTGTTTTGGTATTTTCAAGTGTGTTTATTTATCTTTTAATCCGCTTACTTATTCGTTAAATAATTATCATATTTTTTTGTTGGAAGAGCAGTTTTGTTGAACTTTTTCAATATATATAAAATATATTTTGACATTCATTTATAGCCTTAGGGGTGTTTTATACATTTTTTTTCCATTTATCTATTCATTAATCCATTTACTTGTGTGTAGGAGTGAGACCCTATATCTTTGTTTATGTATTTTCATCAGTTTATGTGGAAATTAATTTAGTTAGGGGAATATACATATATTTCATTATTTCACTCATACTGGATCTGGCAGGATTCATATGCATACAAGTTCCATAAATACATCCACACATAAAAAAGGAAAAAAGAAGAAAAAAAATATATATAATCCAATCATGCATTAATTTTTCCATTTAATAATCTATAAAGCTTTTTAATCCTATGTAGGAAGCGGCACATACATGTTCATAACAATTTATTATTTACATTGTGAAGGAAGAAGGGGTGGTAATGATAATTTTTTGAATGTTTAAGCAATTAAGGAGAGTGATTAGCGGTAATTATGTATTAATTGCATTCATTACAATTGATACGAAATGATCAATCATAATCATAATATTGTTGAAATTATCGAAATAAATCAATGGTTAATTAACTTGACTAATGACAGTAATAGCATTAATTACGACGAATATAAACTAAATCACAACACCACATGCTTTACCATCGTAACTACATTAGTACGATCATAACAATCACATTACCACATCACCCAGCCAGTCAACATAACAACCACACCAACATCACACCAACACCAACACCACCACTTCAACACCACAACACTCTTCACAACACCCCCTGGCCACCCACACCGGAAATCCCCCTCACCTGGCAGTTGGGATGGGCGGGCTGGCTGACGCGGGTCCCTGGCACCTCCTGGCCCTGGGTGTCGACGCACCAGCAGGTCAGGGTCGCTGGGTGGCACTGGGTGGGCAGGAAGGCGCCCTCGTCGTCACACTGCGGAAGGTACACGCGGCCCGCTGGGATCCCTGCTTCTCTGGCGCGGTGCTCGAGGAGGTTCCGTTGGTGCTCGCAGGCTGGGGGGAGAAAAGGGGAAGGGGGGGTTAGGTGTAGGTTCGGGGTGTCTGGGTGGTGTGGATATGTGTGTGTTGAGGAGATCGGGTTTTTGGAAGCACGTGGGTATGGTTTAGTTGCGGATATGTATATGGATACTCAAAAGTCCGTGATTTCTCTCTCTCTCTCTCTCTCTCTCTCTCTCTCTCTCTCTCTCTCTCTCTCTCTCTCTCTCTCTCACACACACACACACACACACGATTACTCATTTACAAACAAACATTTTTTCCGAGGAAACACAACACGCGCATTCCCAAAATTGGTCTGAACTAACATAGACCATTAACAAAGACAAACGATCACAGTCAAATCCCATACGCACCCTTACTCCCTTCCCTCCACGACAAACAGCGTACTAGGCGTAAATTACACGCGCTTTACAAATCAATATTTGGACAAGTCTCCCCTTCCATTTTCGGGGGACTACTTTTTACCAAAGAAAGTGGGAACGGGGCACAGAAAATTGAAATGGTGCAAAGAAAACGGGATTTATGGCTTCCGTCACCAGGCACCGAAATAGTGATGACGAATGACACTGTTATCATCACTCAGCATCTAATTCATCATCAGCCATGAGACGATAAATCTCCTACGAGGTGAAATAAATATGCATGACAGTTTATCTGACAGGATGCTGAGTTATGACGACGCGTATTTTTTCACTATTTTGAGGTTGAACGTGAATAGCGCAAAGACTTCCTGCCTTTAAAATCTCCCGTATGTTACAGTTTTTATCAAGGAAATTGCGTCTTCCATATATGAATTTATTATGGCCAAATTTTGTGAATTAAGCATCTAAAACAATGACAGCATCAACAAACGTAATGACCTCCCCTCCCTCCTCTCCCTCCTCCTTCTCCTCTCTCTCTCTCTCTCTCTCTCTCTCTCTCTCTCTCTCTCTCTCTCTCTCTCTCTCTCTCTCTCTCTCTCTCTCTCTCTCTCTCTCTCTCTCTCACCCGTCATGACAATCGGCTGCTGGCACTGAGTTCCGCAGCCGTTGGAGCAGCACTTCTCGTCGCCGCGGCAGTGGGAGTCGTCCGAGCACTCCAGGTCGCAGTGTCCGCTCAGCACTGGCACCAGGAAGGGGCACTGGCCGGCCTTCTGCTTCTTGCCTGGAATTCGGGGTTAACAAAGTTGATTGAAGGTGTTGATGATAATGATTGGTGACGATGACAGTAATTATGCAACAGCACAGATGATAACAGTAATAATAGTAGTAGTAATAATAATATTGATAATAATAATAATAATAATAATAATAATAATAATAATATAATAATAATAATGTTAATAATAATCTGAAACAATAATACTCTTTGTTTTCTTCCTTGAAATAGAAACGAACCCTAGAACTATTGGTTACACTCTTGGGGTCGCGGACGGGATGACAAATAGGTATTGTCATATTGATAATAATGATATCGACAATACTGCCACAAGTAATAAGAACACATACATTACATTAAGAGAAGTGATATTCATAATAACAACGCAATTCTGCCGTTCAGAACAAGCTGATTGAAATAGTAATGACAGAAACACCAATCAATTAAAAAGAGCAGTAAAACAAGCAACCCCCGCGCCACTGACCAGGGCTGGGGCAGCAGACGCCTTCTACGGTGCTGTCGTCGGCGAAGCAGGAGTACCCCTGGGGGCACTCGAGGGCTCGGGCACGGGGGCTGCAGGCCAGGGTGGCGTTGGTCTCCGGCAGGGTGTAGGGCTCTCCCATGGGGCACGCGGGGGCGGCCGACGCCTCCACCACGGGCACGCACTGGGGTATGGCGGGGCACACGCCGTCCACGCAGGGGATGTCCACCATCTGGCACACGTGGCTGCCGCTGCACTCCACGTCCTGGGGGAGGGGGAGGGGGGGGGGTTAGTTGATGTTATTATTTTATGCTTTTCTTGTTGTTGCTGTTTTTAAGTTTTTTTTTTCTTTTTCTTTTTTTATATAGCTTAAGCTTCTTTTTCAGAAACAAAAGTGCAAACAAGGAATTAGAAATCAGAAAAAAAGTAAATCACCCTTATGAAATAATTGCACTTTCTCTAAAAAAAAAACTCGAGATAATGGTTATAAATTTAAATGCACTTATCAAAAAAAAAAAATCTTAAAGAAATATATTAATCTAAAGAGACAGCCACTTCAGTCAGGCAAACAAACAAACAATAAAAAAGACAATTCAAGTCACCTGGCACGGATCGCGACACTGGCAGAGTGGGCAAGCCGTGTCCTTATCCAAGACGAAGCCGTAGTCGCAGCCAAGACGACACAGCATCTCGCCGCAGGTCAAAGCCTCTCGAACGCGATCGCACACCACGAGCTCGCGGGATGATGCCCTGGGGAGGGGGAGAGGGAGATGGGGAGATAGGGGAGGGGGAGATAGGGAGATAGGGTGATAGGTAGATGGGGAAGGAGGAAGGGGAAATGGGAGAATAGGGAGGGGGAGGTGGGGAGAGAGGAGGGGGAAAGGGGAGATAGGGGGGAGTAGGGAGGGGGAGATGAGGGGATAGGAGATGGGAAGGGGGGTGATAGGGAGATAAGGAATAGGGAGAATAGGAGGGGGAGACAGGGAGTGGAGATGTGGGAGATAGGGAGTTGGGGAGGGGAGACAGAGAAGATGGGGATGGGGGAGATAAAAAAGAGAGAAAAAGGAGAAGGGGAAGAAAATTTGGAAAGATGATAGGAGAGGAAAAATGGAAATGGGAAGAAGAAAGATGACGAGAAGAAAATAAGAAAATTGAGTTACAACAAAACAAAAATAGCAAGGAGAAAAAAATAAAGGGAGAGATAAGGAATTAGGAATAAAAGAAAGAAGGGGAGAAGGGAAGGAGATAGAAAAAAAACACAAACATTATAGATAACTTCCTCAGACGAACTTCAACAATGTTTCATGATCTTGAATGCTCGCTTGCGTGTGTTGGAGCGATTCTTGCCATTCTTTCCCTTCCCTTTTATTTATTTAGAATTGGAAAGAGAAAGAGAGAGAGAGATAAAAAAAACAAAATTATCTGAATTGAAAAGATAAAGAGATAAAAAAAATATCTGTATCTGAATTGGAAAGATAGAGATAGGCAAAATTATCTGAATTGGAAAGATAGAAAGATAGAAAAAACAAAATTATCTGAATTGGAAAGATAGAGATAGAAAAAAATAAAATTATCTGATGTAAGTCTGTGTTTGAAAATGCAGTAACTGATTTGAATTTGTTGATTGGATTTTAATGTGCATTCGAAAACAAACAAAATATCTATGCGTGAATAAAACTAATACAATAGTTTATTTTGTCCTCTAACAAACAAACAAACACAAATAAATAATATATATCTATGCTTGGCTTAACTTGCTCATAAAAATACCAGATAAAATACTGAACATTTTCTTTTAACCTCTAAAAAAAATGTTAATATGAATATCTTCAAAAAATCATATTATTAATTCTTGATAATGATAGAAGAAAATACATAAGCATAATCAAATAATATATAATCCTTTAAAACAAAAACATAATTCCCGGTAATAATATAGAACACTCAGTAAATAAATAAATAACAAATAAACAAAAACTACAAAAGAAAAAAAAACGAGACCATGTCAAGAACGAAAAAAGAATAAACAAAAAAAAACGATGATAATAATAATGAAATAAGCAATGAACAAAAAAAACGATAAAGAAGAAATGAACAATATTGACGACAATAATAACGACAAAAGGGGAAATAAACAAGTGGCAATGACAAATAGCGCTTCCTCCATCCTATATCCAATCCATATCCATCCTTACTCTAATCCTTCCTCCATCTTATCTCCAACCCTCATTCCAATCCTTCCTCCATCCTAACTCCACTCCTTACTCTAATCCTAAACCCAATCCTTATCCATCCTATCTCCAATCCTCATTCCCATCCTTCCTCCATCCTAACTCCATTCCTTACTCTAATCCTATCTCCAATCCTTATCCATCCTATCTCCAATTCTCATTCATCCTTCTCCATCCTTCCATTCCTTACGCTAATCCTAAACCCCATCCTATCCATCCTATCTCCATTCTCATTCCATCCTTCTCCAATCCTCATTCCCATCCTTCCTCCATCCTATCTCCAATCCTTACTTCGTTCCGGGGATCTGCGTGCCGAAGTCGTCGACGCACCAGCACTGGCCGAGGGCGTTGCACTGCACCTGCTCGTAGGCGCCGTTCTCGTCGCAGGTGGGCGTGGGAACGGCCAGGGTCACGCCCTCGAGCTCAACCAAGTCGCGGAGGTATTCGCACACTGGTGGGGGGAGAGGGGAAGGAGAGGGGAAGAAGAGGGGGTGAAGGGGTATAGAGAGGGGAGGGGAGGGGAGTGAGGAGAGGGGGGAGAGAAGGGGGAGGGGAAGAGAGAGTGGGGGAGGGGAGGGTGAGAGGAAAGGGTGAGAGGGAGGAGAGGGGGGATGTTTAGAAGAGAGAGAGAGAGAGAGAGAGAGAGAGAGAGAGAGAGAGAGAGAGAGAGGGAGAGGAGAGGAGAGGAGAGGAGAGGAGAGGAGAGGAGAGGAGAGGAGAGGAGAGAGGAGAGGAGAGGAGAGGAGAGGAGAGGAGAAGGAGAGGGTGATGGTAATAAAGATAGGAGGGAGAGGAAGAGGAAGATAGGAGCAAAAGTAAAAGGAGAAGGAGGGAGTATGATGATGATGAGGAGAGGAGGGGAAGAAGAAGAAAGGGGAGGAGAAGAACGAGGAACAGAAAGATGACAAAGGCGAAAAGGAACAGGAAAAGGAAGGAGGAAGAGAAAGAGATGAGAAGCAAAAGCAAAAAAGATAAAGGAGAAGAAAGATAAAGGACGAGGAGGAGGAATAGTAAAAAAAGAAAAAAGGAAGCGGGAAAAAATGGAAGAGGAGGATAAAAAGGGAAGGAAGAAAAAATAAGAGAAAGAGATGCTTACGATTAGTACCGAGAAATTGATGTTGATTTATGAAGTTTTTTTTCTCCTAAGCGTCATGTTTCAGTTAATTAATTTCTGTTTATAATTAGTTTGACTTTAATTAGTCTTTGTAGGGCTACGGTTTCTAATGAAGGAAATAATTGTGACCCCAAAACAAAGGCTGCGGGTACGAGTGGTGGTGTGTGTGTGTGTGTGTGTGTGTGTGTGTGTGTGTGTGTGTGTGTGTGTGTGTGTGTGTGTGTGTGTGTGTGTGTGTGTGTGTGTGTGTGTGTGTGTGTGTGTGTGTGTGTGTGTGTGTGTGTGTGTGTGTGTGTGTGTTGTGTGTGTGTGTGTGTGTGTGTGCGTGTGTTCGTGTGCATGTTCGTGAGCGTGAGCGTGTGCGTGCCCATATGTCTACCCACGACCGCACACGCGTCTGGTCTCCCCCCCCCTCAAACACGACTCCCCCGACTCACTCGTGGGTCCTGCAGAAGTCCGCTCTCGAGGGTGAGGTTCTGCGGCGGCTGCGGCGTGACGCACCTGGGGCCGCAGGCGGGGACGACGCAGCACTTGGTGACGGAGCCGCACTCGTCGTCGGAGGCGCAGCGCGGACCCTCGCACAGCTCGGCGCTCGCGGACGCCACGAACGGGCACTGGCCGGGCTTGCTGGCCTCTGCGGGGGGAGGGGGCGGGGCAGGGGGCGAGGGTGAGGAGGCGGGGTGAGGCGAGGGGGAGGAGAGGACGAGAGGGAAGGTTGGAAGAGGGGGAGGTTGATAAACAATGGAGAATGTAAGTACGCGGGGAATAAATAATTTAACTGAATAGTAATAATGATAATAATAATTATGATAATAATAACAATAATAATAATAGGGAATCTAGTGAAATGATATTTCAAAAGTAAAGATAAAGACGAAGAAGAAGAAGAAGCGGCAGTAGATAAAGAAAGAAAGAAAGAAAATAATCCGTCTTACCGATGATGGTGGGCACGGGGCAGCAGGTGTAGGGCGCGCCGGCGGTGGGCGGGGGCGTGCACTGGTGATCGGCGGGGCACGGAGCGTGGGCGTCGCACTCCACCACCACACCGCCCACAGTGAAGGGCGTGAGGCCGTTGGGGCAGGTGGGCGGCGTGGGCGTGGTGCTGGGCGTCGGGAGGTCATCCGAGTCGTTGGTCAGACCTGGGGGAGGGAGGGAGTTAGTTTGGAGGGAGAGGGAGGGAGGGAGGGAGGGAAGGGGGAGGGAGGGAGGGAAGGGGGGGAGGGAGAGGGAGGGAGAGGGGAGAGAGAGGGAACGGGAGGGAGGGAGGGAGGGAGTTAGTTTGGAGGGAGGGAAGGGGGGGGGAGGGAGAGAGGGAGGGAGGGAGAGGGGAGGGAGGGGGGGAGGAGGGGAGGGGGGGGGGGGGAGGGAGAGAGAAGGAAGGGAAGGGGAGGGAGGGAGGGAGAGGGAAGGAAGGGAGGGAGGGAGGGAGAGAGAGGGAGTTAATTTGAGGGAGGGAAGGGGAGGGAGAGGGAGGGAAGGAAGGGAGAAGAGAGGGGAGTTAGTTTGGAGGGAAGGGAGGAAAGGGGAACGGGAAGAGAGAGGAGAGGAGAGGGGAGGGGAGGGGGGGAGGGAGAGAGGAGAAAGGGAGGGGAGGAGAGAAGAGGGGAAGAGAGGGGAGTGAAGGGGAGATAAAAAACGGAAATAGAAGAAAAACGAAGAGAAATGAAAAGGAAAAAAAGAGACATCAAAAAAGGAATGGGAAAGAAAAAAAGTACTATGTAGCGGAGAGTCGGGAGGAGGGGTGGGGGTACGTATGTTAATTACTCTAACAATCAAACATTGAGAGAGATAATAGCTCATTATGCCTTTTCATCCCATGCTGCATATTGTTGTTTCAAAACAGCCAATCAACTAGTGTTTGTTGCATAACCTGAATACCTGTGCTCGTATTAACGGTAAAAATACAAAACACAAATATTAAAAACAGACAAAGCAAAATAAATAAATGAATAGATAAGTAGAATTATTCTTTCTGACTTTCACCCCCCCCCCCCCATAACGA